CCACTGAATTTTTAGCTCCACGCCGCCGCCGAAGATTTCGGCATCGGCGCACATGCCTAGTAGATACTAATAACTAAATAAAAAGTGTTAGATGTTTAATATTCGTATCACTATTGAGGTAGGTAATTATTAGTGTCCGACCGAAGCTTCGGCTTCGGCTTCGGCATCGGGCACCTTCGGCCAAAAAAACCATCTTCGGCGAAACCTTCGGCTTCGGCCCAAAACTAGGCCGAAGCCGAAGGTTTCGCCGAAGGTCCGAGCTACCGTCGAGATTGAACGAACTGTTTCGAAAGACTGAATGAGAGAGCGATGGACCGGTCGTGTTGGTAGAGACCGCGGGGAGTCATTGTGCACTACAATGAATTTTCAGGTCCGGCGGGCCGACTTTTTCCGGTCCCGAATGACTTGAAAAACTCGGATGAGTAGCTTGTGCACTTGTCCGTTTTTTTCCGGATCGGAATGGCACATTTCAGGGTAGCTCTCTGTGAAGCTACACGTTACTTACAATAGGCACGATGAGATTTTTGAAACGTTGGTAATTGCTTGCTCTATTACTGTACGTGCGAAGACATAGAAGACAGGAAAAATATTCCTGGCACAGGCTAGCATTACCTACATATGCCCTGACATATCAGGCCGGAAAAAATCGGACCGCCGGACATGAAAATTCAGTGTAGTGCACAAGCGCCTTCACTGTCAAATCTGTATTTCTAAATCAACTTCTATATGAGACAGTCAATATAACCTTCAATATTGAAGTTTTGAAATAATTTTAATATTAATTGTAGCTTGTAGACAATATTGAACAAAATTAATTACTGAGAAATTATAAACCATCGGCTTCGGCTTCGGCTTTTGCCGAAGGTTGTGGCAATTGCCGATTAATCGGCTTCGGCTTCGGCTTCGGCCAAAAATAGACCTTCGGTCGGACACTAGTAATTATCTACTTTTCTTCGAGAAAGTTTACAGCAATTCACAAACTAATGATAATGATAACAACTACATGCTAATTACAAGCTTCTAATTATCTATTATTTTTATTCCACTTACCTGTTTACGTCAACTTAATCGTATTATTAAACTTACTTATTTATGACAAGTAAATTATAAATAATTCGTAGATATTTTTAACTTACCTATTTATTGATTAACTCACCCGTACATTTGGTACTTACCTGTTTACAATAACTTACCCTCTTATTTAAACTTACCTGTTTTTAATTTTGCACTCGAACTTATTAATACTAACTTACCTATTTCTTTGATTATAATAATTATTATTTGCAATTTAAAATTCCTATATTATTAGTATTTTTTGCATTACGCTAGTCACCACACTACTAGATGTGTCATTAAAAAAAAATGTGAATGGAAAAATTTCTTGTGGAAAGATGTAGTTGAATTAGTAGCTTTAGACAGTTAATTAATACTCAATACTTTTGCAACTATACCCCAGATGTTTTCCACTGAAGTAGTACCATCCGACCTTTCTAACTAAAACGGACACTTCACAGATATCCGTACCTACTTATATCAGTAGGTAATTAAACTAGTCAAGTTATCAGGAATTAGAGGGGACTTTCTAATTTTATCATAGTTCTTCATGGCGGCCTTGTGTATTCCGAGGTATGAGATAATTTTAACATCTGTGTTTCGAGCTACATCTGATAATTTCGCTCTAGGGACTTATAAAAACGAGAGTTAAATAACATTAAAATAATATGCACTTCTTCGGAGACAATATAGCACTGGTATACCTGGAAGCCGCTTGAATGGCAGGATGGATAAAATTATATAAGAAAGTATTCGGAACTGTGATCTCTTCAAAAATTGATGGATGCAATTTTACTAGCGTAATATTTGGTATATATGCCTGGTATTATTCAGAATCAATTTAAACATAAAGTTTGATGGAAGTAGGAGCATCCATGCAGTGAATAGAAGGTATACGAAAATATTCAGTGTGCTAGATAGTGTTAGCAGCGAACGGATGCGATAAATTAGCAGGAAATTTCTTAAATCGAATACCAACATCTATTATTTAATTGGATTTCCATGTTGACTAGTTACATTATACTGATTAAATGTTCACACATAAGCTTTAAAACAATTAAAATCATGACACATACAGTGGACGCCGGAGGGTGGCAATCTGTAAAGACTCAAAAAAGTCTTCGGCGATTTATATATTTTTGGTAGTAGGCTTGTGTCCTACAAGTGCAAATACAGATTTTTGTTATATTTTCGAAAAATATGAACCATTTTAACTTTTAAATCTTTAGCAAAACAAATTTTAAGTCACTGATTTGGAAAATACTACGCTTTGAAAACTTGAAAAAAGTAGAGAAAATCTACTACAAAAATTTGCTAAAATACATAAAGCATTAAATTAGATATAAAAAATGTTACACCTTTCATTATAATAGCTATAAACATAAACGCACAAATAACAAAGATATTACAAAAATTGTCCAGACGCCCATACATTTTTCGCTACTGTAGCTCCGTGTGACGTCACTGAGTGCCTTTAATTTGTAGGGAGCGTTTTTGGCCAACAAGCAGCAGTTCTACAAACCGTAACAGCACCGTATCTCCGAAACTATTAATTGCAGACATGCTGTTACTTCTACATTATTTCTCAGATGTTAATAAACTATTTATTTATGAAATAAAAAAAGGTTGTCAACTAGCCCTGCCTGTACTTGTAAATAAATTATAGTCTATGTCCGCCTCGTATTATGTAAGCCCGTAGATGAAAGACTTATAAATCGGTCCAATCCAATGCAAACAAACAAACAAGCAATCAAATCATTCCTCTTTAGATGAATATAGATTATTGGAAAAATGATGTTGAGGAAATAAAAAAAATCTCCTATTTTAAGACTTTCACTTAAATATTCTTATTTAACAATTTAAATCTATATGCATGTATATCTTAATATTTTTAATTGTTACCTATTATATAAATATATATATATATCTCTGTATCTACTTTTTATAAATTATCACTAAAAAGCACGAAATATTTTATAAAAAGTAGAACCGGCTTCATACTTTAAAAAACTGATAATTATTTATTTATTTATTTCTAAAACACAATACTTATCTCAAAAGCGACTTATTCAAGAAAATGCTATTAAAGTCGGGTGTCTATTATTTAAATAATACAGAAAACCTGCGCCTGACTTCAATAGCATTTTCTTGAATAAGTCATTTTTGTGATAAGAATTATTTATCACTTTTTTAAAGTTTGATGTCGGTTCTGATTTTTATAAAAAGACTTTATAATTGTTGTATTACAAAAATGGTGTGACGATTAGGCAAAATCACTGACGTTCAACTGGTTTTGTCCTTAATTTAAATGGTAAACTGCATGATACCTATTTATCATTAATATAATAATTAACAAATTAACTGATAAAATATATATAAGTTATTGATTTAGGTTTAATTTCATAATATAAGAATTTTGAACCAATCGATTAAAATTACGAAAATCAAGGGTAATAAATAATGAATGTCATTAATATACGTTTCATACTGAATATTGATAACTGTTAATTACCCTATTATATGACACGTGGATCCATCTCTTAACACAATACTTTATCTAATGAAACTATGGCCTAATTGTAGAATTTCATAATCTATCGCAATCCTTTGCAAAGGCATAGAGATTTATGGAATTTCGTAAATTTGAAAGTCTCATAGCCAGTTGAACAAATGTTCATTAAAATTCTCATTAGTTTAACGCCACATTACCCATACAAATATGCAAAATTGGAACATTAATTAGAGCTTAAAGTAGTCATTAAACTTTAATGGACGTTTGTGCAACTGGCCGTATGTCACTTTTGTAACGAATGATGATTGGAATGGTCAAGAGACATAATAAATACTTAGTGAATCTCGTCGAAAGATTGCAGTTAGCATTATACTTTTTCCGTTGATATTCTCAATAGCTTTAAAAGATATTATAAATTAGACAGGCCGCAAGGGCCTACTTAGAGTTTATGGTGCGTTATTTTCATTGAATGAACAGGTGAATCGAAACTAGTTAATAAGATAAGATTAAGTATTTCATTAATGCAGCAAATACACGTAATTATCACCAATAAAAATGATAGACGTACTTATAATCATATTCTTATCCCACTTAGACGTTAAAACTGATTATCATAAAAGTTACATTAAAGATAGTTGAGTACGTCAGATAAGATTTATTGTGGGTGTCCTAACAACTCGATCGCGGCCTCCCAGGTCTCATTCTCTAGCAGAGGGTACACCGTAGGCGTTTTAGTGGGTAGGCGGCCTCTAATGACGGAGGAGAGTTCCACACTCTCCTTTTTGCTCACCAGACGGCAGGGAGTGTGTTTAAAGCATTTCCCCGACGAATGAAAAAAAAATAGATTTATTGTATAGTCGAGCAGAAGTAATTAGTTACATTATTATCAATCGTCCCCACTGGACTCAGATCTTCCTTTTGGATGGTTAAGGAGAATGGGCTATGACCCTCCACGCTGGCCTAATGCGGATTTAATAGTATTGAAGACTGCAAATAGATCAGGGACCAACGACTTAACGTACCTTCGGAAGCACGGAGAAGCTAGAAATAATTATTTTTTGGTCAACCATCCCGTGATAGATTCTTGCGAAAATTGTTTAACAAACGTTCACGGGCCGCGGCGCTTTTCCAACTGAGCTAATTAGGTACATATTGAAGTATAATTAACTTTATTTTAACCAATAAACGAGACTTTGAATTTAGAACTATCAATAGATAATAATTATATATTATTGGTTAAAAATATTTGATTAAGTAATTTCTTATAGTCACATAATTTCTTCTATTAGACTATAAATACGACACGAATGTATGTATGTTTGTGCTTAAATACGATTTACTGTTAATTTAGCAAACGAAGTCCTTTTTACAAAATAATAGAGCTTTGCAAAGTTATCGACAAATGGGAATAAAGATACATTTGTCCTATTTACAGCCCTAGGTCCGGTATTGCCCCAGCTGAATGTGTTTGGGCGGCAACTGGGTGTGTCCCCCGCAGTGATGGGCATGGTGACAGCGGTTCTGCCTCTACTGTGGGCCACAGCGAAGCCACTATTCGGTTACGTGGTGGACTACTGGCCCGTAAGAAAACTCATTAAATATTAATCCGAAAAAACAAACAAATAGTAGTTTATGCAACTGTATTAAAACACGAGAGTCTGTTTATCGCATGAGGCGAAGCAGAATGCGATAATAGGTTGACTCGAGTGTTTTAATACCTAAGTTATATGCAGTTTCATACACTACTTTATCTTCACTCATAAGAAATCAAACAAAGTAGCTAGGTTACAAGGAACTGCGCATGCGTGCGCCTTTTTTCATATTCAGCCTAAAACCATAGACTAGTTTAATGAATAAAAAAAGATAGCGGTACTATAATGAGTTTTATGATACAGTTGGCGGTACTACAATGACTCTTATTTTTAATTTTATGGATATGCGTTTGTAAAGTGCGTATTTGTAATCGTCTTTGAATTCGTAATTCGAATTTTTCGATTTGAGTGTAGATAAAATAAAATATCATTGTCATTGTCACTAACCCTATTATAGAGTGCACACTAAGCTTGAACAATTTATGAGTCTTAAAATATACATAATATACACTGACGCGACGCATAAATCATTGCATATGTGCTTTGTGTCCTTGAGATTAATTTGCTTTTCATACAATGACACACTAACGGTCAGTTGCACAAACGTACATTAAGGCTTAAAGGCGCCTTTAAGCTCTAATGAATATCAAATTTGCATCGGTAATGTCGCTTTAATTAAACTAAAGACAATTTTTATGTACGTTTATGCAACTGAAAGAGATGTAAATTCAAAACTCCCTACATCTTTTCAGACTTCAATAATTCGATATTAAATAACAATTTGGCAAATGACAAATCTATGGTTGTCTCCTTCTAGACTCACAGGAAGCTGATCTTCATGCTCCTCATAGCTGTGATGACTGGCTCCTACTGTTGCCTATGGTTCCTACCCATGCCCGAAACGCCAGAAACAGAACCGGCGATAATAAAGACCGTATACAACCTCAACGACACCATTCACTTGGGGACGATAGACGATAGTACTCTAAACAGGTACAGCTGCCATTGGAACTGTACTAAATTACAGAAGTTCTACATGTATTTGCCGAACGAAACTTTAGTTAATACGATATTTGTAGACGGAAACGTTACGCCCGAGTCGTGCTCGCATTTCGATATGGATGCGGGGAACGGTCCGGGCGTCACCTGTGCGCTGAAACCGAACTGTAGTCTGTTGTGCTTCGAGGATGATCTAGATATGAACGCTACAGTGGTGGATAGAACTCGTAGAGATATTTCTAATGTGACAAATGACAGTCGCATCGTTGTTGATGATGCCAAAGGAGGTATGTCTCTGAAACACGTGTTTTCTCAAGTGACTAAAGTGACGCATAGCAAGGTGGATTCGGAGAGTGACGAACGGAACTTTTATATGACGTCGACGTTTTGGGCTTTCGTGATATTGATGTGCGTTGGTACGGTGGCGTTCAACGTGGCTAATTGTATTGGAGACGCTGTATGTTTTGATGTGTTAGGTAAGTTAGTTTTCGCTCAGTATTGAAAAGAGAAAAGTTACCTTACGGCATACCTTCTTATAATTTTACAAGAGTCTATTGAAATTCAATGAATTTTCTAGACCTTAATGCTGTTTGTCATACATATATACAATAGTCTGATTTTTAAGTAGATGGACTAAGCTGACAGCACCTTTTTTGCGCCTTTTTTCTTCTTTATGTTTGATTAATTAATCCGTTCTATGATATGAATAATTGTGTTTTTTATTCATCAGACCTCTGAAAGTACGATACATTTTAATGTCTTCATTAGGTTTCTTTATTTATTATTCTAATAAAAATACTTATAGTTCCGTCGTAGTTAGAAATTTACAAATAAAGTCTTAAAATATTTCATATTTTATTTTGAGCTTTTCTAATCGTGATAGATAAGATCTAATATTTTAAATTAACCGCTATAATTTTTTTACCGTTATAGATAAACTGAAGAGTAATGTATGCAATGTGAACGAATCATAATTTATGAATCATTTCCTATCACTCGGAATACGACTGTATTTTTATATATATAGTAACAACCTACTTACTGTCATTTTAATGTATCTAAATCGAAATCAGAGTTTAATAGATTTTAAGTAAAACTACTTAGAAAATGAAGGAACTTGATCGCGAAGTGGTTAAACCGTTCACCTGTAATAGTAAGATTAAATAATAAAATTATATTTCGAACTCCTCCGTGTATCGGAGCCCACGTTAAGCTGTTGGTCCTAGCTGTAGTCGTTAATCTCATTGTACACACACTGGGTACCGTTCTCTCTATTTGATTACACCCTTATAGATGATAATTAGAATGAAACGGATATATTTCTTTCGCGACATACAGACGTATCTCTAACCATACTAAATGTGTGAACCCGATATGCTTCTAGCGCGTCCCTACATTACACTGGACATTCATTTCATGTCACTCATTTGCGCATTAGCAATGGTTATCGGTCTCTCATCAACACAAAACTTAAATCCTCAACAGACTTATATTATCATTTGTTTAAAATATTCTTTATTCAAAATAATATCATAACAATAATTCTCCTTTTTGACTAATATTTATCTTGCCACATACTTCTTTTAGCTGTAGAGAAAAGTGTAGTGTAGCAAGTGTAGCTTCGAGATAATTTGACACATTAGTGCGATGTGATATGAGTATAAACGCAGAGATGGAACGTGCCTACGGCGTCACTTTTAGTTTAGGCAGATAAGCCGTAGGTCTAGTTTTAGCTAGCGTATTAACGCAACGCCGCGCAACGGATTACGAAAGGTTCGAAACCCATAAGGTTGGAATGCCATTCTCGGCCGCCTGAATATGTCTTATTTTTTTTAGTAGTTTATATGTAGTATGTTATAAGATTTTTTTTATCGCAATTAAGAGCTCTTGGTGAGGCTCTATCTTCGCTTATATTGGAATAGAGGTAGAACGTTAATTTGCTGCTGGAGTCAATAGAACATTGTGCAAAAGTATTAGGCTAATAAAAAAAAAAGAAATTTTTGACAATAGAAAGATTATCTATTTCTCATAAACCTTAGGTACCGAAAAGGCCTCTAAGTACGGAGCACAGCGAGCTTGGGGCACAGCGGGTTATGGGATAACCGCATTGCTGGGAGGTGTGTTAGTGGACGCGGTGTCTCGTGGTGCGAGTAAAGATTTTACGCCGGCGTTTGTCATAGCCCTGGCTGCCACCGCTGTTGATCTGTATAGCTGTAGGGCACTTACAGTGAGTACTTTTCTCGCTAAAACTGAGGGAGTTATTACGTTACAGTAAATATAAATATTTTTTTAACAATTTCACATACTTTCTGAGATCCCAAATTATCTAGTTAAAGCTACTTGTATTATGGAAGTCAGGAACAACGGCATCCACACTGGATATAAACATTTTCTATGTTGAGCTCAAAGACCGGAGTGAGCCACTCGTGAAATATGAAAATATGAAGCCCAAATATGGGGCAATACACTAATTTGAGAATTAACTTCTAACAGTATAATAAACTTGTAATGAAATGACAGGGCATATGGCTGTAACTTGAAAGTCATAAGATGGAGAAAGTAAAATCGAAAGTGCGTAGACGTACAGATAAAACAGACGCAGTAATGAAAGGCTGTGGAGCGTGTAGTAGGGAGAGAATTAATCGATAATATGAGCTGAAACAGTTTTATTTTGAACTTTGATCAGAACGGAAATAAGTTTGATTTTCAATAACCAAAACCCAAATTCTATAAAAATGTTGAAAACTATATAAAATGTTGGTTAATGATATTAACAAAGTTTCCGAGCATACTAAGATGTCCAATTTCCAAATAGTCTAATGGTTCCAAAATGTTCAATTTCCGAAATGTCCGAATCTTTATATATGTAATACCCGAAATGTCCAGCCCCCTAATTGTCTAATTTTAAATCTATTGCAATCGCTTTCAGTTTGAAAGGTGTTGCATAACCATTGCTGCATAATACAAATACTTTTTTTTCAACTGTCTTCAGAAACAAGCAATGGTTGTGCAACACCTTTCAAACTGAAAGCGATTGCCATAGATTTAAAATTAGACAATCAGGGGGCTGTTCTCACAACGTCCAATTCGCGAAGCGACTAATTCCTGAAATGTCCAATCTGGTATCGTTATGGGTTTGTTGAATACACAGACAGTAAGCAAGTTTGTTAATGTTTAATAATTTGGATATTGGACATTCTGAACTGAAAGGGATGCAGGTAGTGTGTTACTTCTAATAAACTGCATTCTTTTCCCCAGTTACCCTCTTTATCCAGTCCAGACGATAGTGGCGCTGCGTTGCGTCAAGTGTTGAAAATGCCCAGGGTACTCGTGTTCATTACGTTTGCTGTCGTCGCAGGCACGTTTGACAGTTTCATCATATACTATATGTTTTGGTAAGTTAATTTAATTTGTCATGTTAACGCATATATGAAAATACTTCTTTATTTGGTTCCTTAAACGCTCCTTGATTCGAAAGTTTTGTTGAACTTGAATAACTTCAATATTTTACTTGGTAAATGCATCCTACCCCCCATCTATAATATCCAGATATCGTGTCTGTATCCAAAAAGTGAATACCACTAAGATATTTGTTTCGGCGGGTCAAGTCAGGATTTTTTTTTATAAAAATGACTGTTTGGATACTGAAATCATGTTTAAATTATACTCACAAGAAAGATAAGATTTTTTTCTTTTGAATATTTTTAATTTATAAGGGTCAAATTTTCTGGCGTACTTCTTTCTAAATAGTATACAATGAAAAACTGATAAAAACGACCAAAGAGTAAAGTTATATTTACATGAATATTGCCATGGGTGTAAAATTGATTTCCTCTTTTTTATAATGTTGATGCTTTCCTTATCTATATATATAAAAATGAATCGCAAAATGTGTTGGTAAGCGCATAACTCAACAACGCCTCGACCAATTTGGCCAAATCTTTTTTTAAAATGTTCGTTGAAGTTCAAGGATGGTTTTTACGGCGAGAAAAATTAGAATTATTGCTGGAAAAACCCTAAAAATAGCCCTTTTCTTTTTCCCATACAAATGATTTGTAACTAAAACGTAGTCAATTTGAGCTTTATTGCTATGGTATAAAGTTCATATTAAATTACAAGCACTCACTGTTGTCTAAGCAATGTAGGTGTGTTCCTAACGTCAAAGATCATATCTATCAAAACAATGTGCGTGTGTGCGTTGGAGGAGTTTAATGTCGCGTTCCGAAACTCACGCTTCTGTTCAGGAGAATTTTTTTAAATACGTAGGCAAAAAAACTGCCACATTACAAATCTTTTTGACAGGACGAAGTCTGTCGGGTCAGCTAGTTTTTAAATAAATCGTTTTAATAGTCCAAATGGTATTAGAAGTTTATAAATCTGTCCTTCTTGTAGTATTAGTATAGAGTATAATAGTCCAGTTGTACGAGGGTCAAACTGAAAGTTCTTAGAAAATCAAAAACTGATTACATTAGCCAGTTATTAGTTTTATTATATCTTTTCAAAATATTGTCCATTCACGTCAATACACCGCTGCATGCGATGGAACCACTGGGAAAAGCACTTTGCCCACTCGTCCTTAGGGGTCTCTTCAATGGCATCGCGATACGCAGCCACCGCTTCTTCAGCATTCATAAACCGCTTTCCTTTAAGTTTTTCTTTAATTTTTGGAAATAAATAAAAATCACAAGGCGCGAGGTCGGGGCTATACGGCGGGTGACCCAGTAATTCAACGTTTGATGTCGCCAAATAGTCGATCGTTCGCTTGGCGGTGTGCGACGAGGCGTTGTCGTGGTGAAGGAGGATCCTACTGCGAGGTCGTTTCTCTCGAACTTTTTCCAAGACAAGTGGCAAACAATTGGTAGTGTACCATTCTGCAGAAACTGTTTTTTGATCCTCTAACACAATTGTTGCAAAATGACCTATCCTTCCAAAGAACGAGGCCACCATTTTTTTTCCCGCACTTCGATCTCTCTTCACTTTAGTTGGCAACTCCTCGAAAGGAAACACCCACTGAGCAGATTGTCTTTTGGTTTTAGGATCATAACAGTAAATCCAGCTTTCGTCACCTGTTAGTATGTCGAACACAGCATTTGAGTCACCTCCGTTAAATCTTTCAATCATTTTACGACACCAATCCACACGATGGAGTTTTTGAGCCTCAGTCAAATTATGAGGTATCCACCGGGCGCAAAGCTTCCTGACCGCTAAATGTTCGTGGAGGATTTTGTGCACTTGACTCATACCGATGCCTAAGCTTGTCCGAATCTGTTGATAGGTCACTCTTTTGTCAGTCTCTATCATACGCCGCACAACACAGATGTTATCTTCAGTCGTCGCCGTAGAAGGCCGTCCCTCACGTAAATCATCAGTGAGATTAGTGCGACCACGTTTAAACTCATTAAACCAGTTGTAAACAGTCGCACGAGATGGGGCTTCATCGTGAAAGGCCAATCGTAGTCTATCATAACTTTCTTGTTGACTTAAATGACATCGAAAGTCATAAAAAATCATTGCACGAAAATTTTCTCGTGTTAAATTCATGATGACGTGACACAGACAATTTTCAATTTGCCGCCAAATCGTAAAACAAATGACAAATGAATGAAATATATACTCAGTAATATTGGCAAAGAGTTATATTTTCAAATTTTAGAATTATTTTTTTATTATATTGTTTATAAGTGGCCAGTTCTAAGAACTTTCAGTTTGACCCTCGTATCCAGTTTATTATGTACAAATATATTCTGTCTGAGACGGAGAATGCTTATTTTATTAGTAGTCTTTACATTTATTTTTAGTCATAAAGAATGCTTTAACTTTTATAAGAAGCGCTAAATGTAAAATTTATTTATAAAATATTTATGTATATTAAATTGTTAATATGCATTATTTCAGGTTTTTAGAGGAGTTAGCAGAGGAAACAGGTAGCATGGCGAAAATAAAACTCATAGAGGGAGTCGTTGTCGCAGGCCAGAGCTTCATCGGAGAAATGCTCTTCTTTTATTTTTCAGGTAATTTGATTCTTCTTCTATTTTTCTGGTAAGATTCAAACGCAAAGCAATCAAAGTTAAACGCGCGACGTCGCACGTATATATTGTTGCCCTGTATAATAGTTACCCGTAAGTGTTTGATGCAAAAAAAAAAAAACAGATGATTGATCGATGCAAAAAAAAATACATACAATCAAATGTTTCCTCTTTATGATATAAGTATAGATAAAAGACTAATAGACAAAAATCTTATAATATGACAATAATACTGAACGAAATCGATTCAGTAGTTTCTCAAATCCCACGTCTTTATAATATTAGTATACCTTCATGGAAGGAAAAGATATGAGACGATAACTTATTTATTGAATTATTATATTTATGAAAAATGACATGTAAATGATAAACCCTTTACTTTGGTACTTTGAGCTGGAGGATTTTTTAAGAGTTTTTCATTAAGATTTTTTTTTTATTTATAGCATTGTGAATGCAAAAATTGATCAAATATAATATTTACAACAAAATTTTCATCTTAATCGAAAGTTTAAATATTTGTAAAAATGTTTCTTTTGGTTTGTTTGTTTGTGTGGCCCAAACATTGATGAAAATATGCTATGTAGTAGCGATAACGTAATAAGTGCTTGAAAATTCGTCGGTCCTGTTAGGTCCTGTATAATTCAATGGTTAGAGTAGTCCGGATTGCGAAAGGTCTTGGGCTCGAGTCCCAACTCGGGGTACATGGGGCTGGTGGATTTTTAAACGTTACCCATTTAAAATATTTATTTATTGAAGTTTATTTCAGGTAAAATAATAAAACGCTTCGGTTATGGAACAACTATGACTGTATCTCTGTGCTGTTACGGAGTGCGTATGGCGTTAATATCCTTCATACAGCATCCATGGCACCTCGTATTTATTGAGGTGAGTTTATACTTCGAGGTATCTATAGAACAATATTACATTCCACGCAATTTCTCCTTTTAATTTGGATCGCGCATTGTCATTTTATTTTAATGTAAACTAACCCTTTAGTAAAATGGATTAGTGGTCAGTGGCTTGGCACGCGTTGTCTCGTTTTCATACTTCTAAGTCCATAAAAAAAGAAAATTCCATATAAACTTCACTCCTCCCCCTCTTTACCCTTAGGGATTGAATTTCTAAATGTCCTTCCTTAGTACTTACTTACATCATGAAAGGAACCCCTGTACCAAGTTTCTAGGTACAGTAATTTCGGCTGTGCGTTGATATATACATAAGTCGGTCAGGTTTGCCTTTTAATTATGCTAATAGATATATAGTTAAATATATATGTAGGACCTTACGATAACCAAGAAACTGATTACCATTTAATCTAACTTTATTCTGTGGATAGGTCGATGTGTATAACTGCAAGAACATCAGGGCTATTCTGCTAATGTTAGCATAATTATGTAAAGCCAATAGCACTTCAACTATAACCCTTTATGACTACAGTGTTACTAGATAACAAAATAATAAATATATCTCCCATCATTGATTTGTGAAGTAATCATTGCACTAATAATATTGGACTTCAGATAGATGGTACAATGGCAAAACCCAAGTAGTTGGGACTCTATTCGATTCGTCAGTCCTGTTAGGTCCTAGTTAGCTCGGTGGTTAGAGCAGTCGTCTGTATTGCGAAAGATCGTTGGTTCGAATCCCCATCTCATATATGGGTGGATTTTTTAAGCATTTTTTATTAAAAAATATTTTCCAGTATAGCATTGTGAATGCAAAATTGG